TTTAAGATCATTTTAGTGAAAGTTTCATCCTTCAAGGCGTACCATTCACTGCTGAAATACTAAACAACCTGCTTCCATGGCCGAGATACAGGGCGCCCATATTATAAGGTAAGGTTATAAAACCACCATTTAAGATCATTTTAGTGAAAGTTTCATGTTCCTATCTCATAGAATTTAAGAACAATGATGAATAAATAATTTTCGAGCAAAATTTAAATGGCCGGCTGAATATATTACCGCAGGAGCCGCGGCCGCGGAATTTAAATGACCACGTCAAAGGGTTAAGGGGAGAGGACTGCAGACATACTTGGATGGACAATTGAATTAGTTAAAATACTGTTCTCACTGAAAACACATTAAAAATGTATTCTTCATTGGGTGAGAATGAGGCCCATTCAAAGTGTTTTTTTTTTTTCCACAAGTGTGCAATATTTAGTGTGCTGTGACTTAGCACCTTATAAGTGCTGCCTCTACACGCATTCTTCTTGAGGCCCTGGTTGTGTGGTGTGCCATATTGTATTCCTTGTGCATATGTTTTTGTGCTCTGGATTTGCCAGGTCATATCGAATTGGATGTTGTTGTACACATGCTATTAATTCTACATTGTAGGAAGAAACCTCTGAACATAAATGTCAAAATTTTAGAGTAGTTACTACATCCAGTAAGTGGGAAACTCTGGCCTGTAGTGATACAAAGCAAAACATATTCTGTTGATTTGTATGGCATAACCCTGCAGTGGTGTACCATGTTGTTTGTCTATTGCCACTGCTTGTGGCCTGGTGCAAGCCCCTGTTTATTTCCACATTTTCAAAGAATCTAATATATGTTTTCATATTATAATTCTGCCCTTTGTCCTAGTGACAAGACATGACCTATATTGTTTATTTTTAGACTAACCTTAACTACCTTCCAGTAAGTTCGTCTATATGTTTGAAGCCTGAAATTCATCTAAATGACACAAAAAGTAAGTTGCTATCACACAGAGAACGCATATGCCTCCATTATCAAGATCAGTTTGTTAATGCTGTTTAGTTCAATTGTTTCTGTTTATTGTGTGAATTGTACAAAACCCATAAATAGACACTGTGGGCAGATTGCTAAGTTTTTAATGTTGAAGCAAGTGGTACATAAAGTAACCATTGTGCTTTAAAGGGTTAATGATTGAACATCATGAGCATAGATCTTTAGGCGATATGTTCCGTGTGTATTATTCTTTTCCTTCTGTTCTCATATGCAGGTCTGAACTGTAAACATTGCTATAACCTGAAGAGAGTCGTCTTCCGCATTCCAAGCCATTCAACTGCTCTGAAGATGGAGGCGCTACGTTCCTCCGAAACGTCGGCCAACAAGAAGAATACACGGTGCCTAAACCCAGAAGACGACTCTCTTCATTGTCATCGCCGTGAAAACCTCAAAACTTACATTGCTATAACCTGTTTCAGTCTGATGTATGGGCATTTGGAATTCTGCTATGGGAGATAGCTACTTATGGAATGTCACCATATCCAGGAGTAGACCTCACAGATGTCTATCATATGCTGGAGAAAGGATATCGTATGGAATGTCCCCCTGGTTGCCCTCCCAAGATATATGAGTTGATGCGTCAATGTTGGCAGTGGAACCCCAGTGAAAGGCCCACCTTTCAAGAGATACACCACTCACTTGAAAACATGTTCCAGGAGTCAAGCATCACAGAGGGTGAGTCCTGATACATATCAGTCAGCTTTCCTTATCAGTATCAAAGTATACAGTAGCTGAAAATTTACTGATGGAATTACACCATAATTTGAGACATTGAAATGTACTAATGTCATTAAAATATGTACATATTTGGGAATTATCTGAGTTACATGCAAAAGCTCTACTGCAATGTTTGCTCAGCACCTTGTGTTCTCTGTCAGGTCCACAGTAGGAATCACAGACAGTTTACATTCTTGTGATACTACTGGACGAGATGAAGGACGAAAATAAGTCCAAATGTTATGTACGTGCTCCTTGAGACGATGCATGTACAATATTCCAGCATTTTATGTGAAGTCAGATGATTATGAAATGTGAGCAGTCACACTGTGTCTTGCTCTGATTTCACCATTTGTTATGTCCAATTTCTGATACTTTAGTATTAGTAGTCCGGAGCCAGGAGATGCATAATGTAGCCAGCAGAAACTTCCTTACATTGATCGTATTTCCGTTATTGTTTGTTTCTGTGTTTAAGAGCCCTGTTGTGTTAGTGACACTGGTTGGGTGATAGGAAGAGCAATATTGGACTGTGATTGCTAAGTTTTTATTTCACATGTAGGTTATTAGGTGATGCTCTCAGTAACCCAGGCTATATAGTGTTGAATGATTAAATGATAATGAATAATGAATAGGAAAGGATGTGGAAGGAAACAGTCATGGCCTGATATCACAGCATTTGCCTGAAGGGTTAGGAAAACAGAAGAAACAAAGAAACCTCAGCGTAGTTGATGCCTTGGCTGAGATGTGAGGTCTCCTGAATGTAATCTGTAATGTGATATGAAGGTACGTGTTGCAGAGGTGGAGAAACAACTTCAGGGGAGTGGAACCCCTCAGCTGGCCTACAAGAAGCCCCATGCAGGCAGTACAGGGAACATTCATGGCTTGGTGATGATGTCAGAGCAGGTTGCTGTTGCAGGAATGGTGGCAGGTGAGTACTCGGCTGTGTGTCAGTGTTGCCATTTGAAGAGGTTAGTTAACCTCAGGTCTCTTATCCTGTAGTACTGTGACTGCCTCATATGTAATCCAGCTAGACCAAAGTCCTTTGTCAGTGAGGTCCCTTCCAGAATTTAGTAACTCATTTTCTGTGCTCAGAATCAAATTTACAGTTTTGTCAGTAAAATGTACTCCTTCAGTATCTTCACTTCAGCTTCTGATGGAGGGCTGATGTAGCTGCCTATCAGGCTGCAGACCCTGCTTCTTTGCCCATTGCACCCATTTATAGAAGGTTTTGTGGGCCCCGTAACAAGTGTGGATGCTACAGAGAAGAGAAAAATCACATGTTCTCCTGGGAATCAAACCCAGCACAGCAGAAGTCAAAAGTCTACAACTCTGTCCAGTGTAGGTTGAGTGGGAAAATTTCGTTTTCCTTGTGTTGGTACCATACGGAGAAATTTTATCTCTTCAGTGATGATTTCTGTCTTGATAGTTCTTTGGTGCAAAGCCCATGTGTGGAGTTCTTAATTTTTTCATGTTTTATCTTAAATCTTGCAAATGGTTTGTGCTGTGCATAGCTTGTATATCCTATCTTGGTACTGGTACACAGGTGTCCAGAGATAGGGACTAGGTCTATTGACTGGGCTAAACTGAGTATGTTCCACCTGAAGATGGAGACAGAATCCAGCCTCCGAAACATGGTTTTGAAATATAAACAGGACGGTGTTTTTAGATAAAACCAGGACGCTGGAGAATGTCTAGAAACATAATATTGTAACGTGTTTTGTTACTGAAGACGCCGTTCAGATTGTTAATTGGTTTATTCAACAACCTACAAGTCTCAGCTACAATTAATTATAACACTGTTATAGGTTTTCACAATTTACAACCCCTGTTCAATATTCAATTCACTCTATTGTCAGTAGTCTACATGTTTTTATAACGCAGGAGGTATACAAGTGCAACTGTATCACACACTCCCAATTATTACTCGGTTATCACGAACTATCACTGATTCTCACACACGTGTCTGTAACTCGTAACTCGCCGCTGGCTAGATTCCAACTCAGCTGTCTTCGTAGGCAGTGTAGCTCTCTTATATAGTCTCAGTGCCAGCCTGTTACGCAATGGGTACCGCTGTTGCCTGTTACCCGTGTCACAGCTGCATTGCGTGTTACATCACCGTGGGGAGAGGGGCGGGGTGTTAACTCGCCTATTACCGTAGTAACAACAGCACTATGATGCCGCCACGTACCTCTGGGGAGGGAGGGGTCCTCCGTTGCGCAACATGTCACAATATTTATATCAAACCCAGATTCCTTGGTCATCCAGCTCATGGAGCAGTCACTGTATAGAGTGAGCTATTCTGACTCTCGAAGGTTACATGTGTCTTATGAATAGTACAGATGAGACTTCCAGCTGGGAATTTGTACATTATTATATGAGAAGATGGTCATACATGTCCAGAACTGTTATTTTCAAGAAGGCATCACCATCAAGTATGGAGATTGTCCCGACTGTTAAATTTTTCTGTGACACCAGGTTTACTAATGAGACGACAACAGATGATGCTTGATAGGTACTTTGTTGTAGAGTGTTGCATTCTGATGGACATGCTGCTTTGGAATGTTAGTGTTTGTGTTGTTACTTAACACTGAAGCCAGAGAGAGAGTGACCACGGGGGGTGGGGAGTTCAAGCCAGCTGCGTGCTCCTCGACATTGCCGACATTACACACTCTCCATCAGTCAGTGCCAATAACAAACCGAGAATTCTGTGAACAGAATGAAAGCCAGAATATATGATACAACTGTTTGGATTGGAGGAAGTGCAGAAGGGGGTACTTGCTAATGCAAATGGGTGGTGGAACATTGGTGTTCATTCTTTCCCTGACTAAGGTTTAGTTGAATTTGCTAATGATTCCTCCACTTTGTCAGATGGCGCAGTGAGCAAGCTGAGTACATTCACAGGAGGGCCAGTACACAGTACCAATAAAAGCAGTTTGGTGCAAATGCGTCGGCCAACCAACAGGAAAGGAAAGCAGGCACCTGCCCCTCCAAAACGAACCAGGTAGGATTTCTCTGTAGATTACAGGTGAACAGCTGATATAGTCAAGTGTCAGCTGCCCATCACGTAATGTATTTAAAAAGTTCATTCTTGCAAAATATGGCTAATTGTTGGCTAATTTACGTTTTCTGAAATAGGTCTATTATAGAGATGGCTTATGTCTGAGTGATGTGATCCAAGGGATCAAGACATCTAATTGAATGAGTGACTTGCATCATCAATGATGTCTTGAATCACTGAATGTCCAGGGTCTTCTGGGATGTGGCATCATGTAGTGTGGTAGGTGCTGCTATGGTCGGCATCTGTGACCATACTTGAGGGGTCACCAGGTGGGGAGAGGGTAGACAGGCATCTAATTCCGTCCCCTTGTTTTCATCACTAATGTGACTATGTTGCCTCCACTTGTTGGTTCTGTCTACCAAAATACACTGTTTCACATCCAAGTTGACTCTGATTTCCATTAGGGTGAGGGCACACCAAGGAAACTGGCAACTGCAACACAACCACAATATCCGAGAATTGTTATCGGCCAGAGTTGAACACATGTTAGTGAATGGACCAGAGCAAATTGTCGAAATGGCATTGCAACTTGTGGAGAAACTGAGAAACTCAATTTCCAGGCAACAGAACATGCCAATCGTCTCACAATTGCATTGCCGTGAGGTTTCCTAGTATCAGCTGTTCTATAATGCGCTTCAATGACTCATTTTTTTGATAAAGTGGCACGAAGGTTTGGGAAAGCTGCTAATTTTGTTTTTGTCCAGTTAACTGAGCAAGAGCCTGGTATATATGACAAACACTACCCAGACTATGCTAAGCAGCACAAAACAGATTTGGCTTGGGAAGGAATTTCTCACGAGACGAAGGAGTCTGGATCCAGGTTAAATTCTTTTGAAACCATACAAGCGCAACAGTTTAAATTGTCACAGAAGAACGGATGCACCAAATGTTTTCTTTTCCTAATATTGTATCTAAGCATCGTGTTGCATTAATACATAATTTATTTCACATGTATTTTCATCTTAAATGCAACTTACTATATAGTCGCCCATCTTCCACATCACATGGTTCAGCTATATACGGCCATCATCAGGGGTCTTTTATCTTGCTAAAGTTGTTGCACTGCATGTGAAAATTTGTATCACGTGTGAATGTGATATTTTCTAATCAAATTGACCTTAATTAATTAACATCGCAATATTTTCCCTATGGTTGTCATCCTCTCTTCTCACACCAACTCAGCCACTGCCATATTAGGACAGGATTAGTATTATCTTCCATTGAAGACGGTAAGTGGACAGAATTAAGAAATACAGTCATGCATTTCATCAGACGAACATACCCACTTAAGATGATGTGAGCAACTAATCAAACATAAGTTTCCTCAATGTGCGCCTGTTAATCTGGAAACCAGTTGCCTGCTTGAAATCAGCAACATTTCTCAGAAATTGCAGCTGTGTTGCTGTTGCGAGTTTCCTTGATGTTCCCCCGTCCTTCCAGTTCACGTACATGGTTACTGTATCTGATGCATTGTTGCTGAACAGAAACTACTTGATGTATCTGTGTGTAATGTGTTTATTGCATCTAGATTGCAATTGTAAAGTTTTATGGATGTTCATAATTAAAATCGCGGCTCTATAAAAGTGGTACAGCATGCCCCCCCCCCCATTATAGAAGGGGTGTGTTCTTGAAAATCTGTTTCATGAAGTTTCTTAACATTAAGCAGTGTTTTTTCACCGACTTCCATGTTACAAGAGGAGATGTGTTCCTACAGAAAATTTTTAGCCCACAAGGGATGCAAAAATAAACATAAAAAACTTTAAATAAATTCAAACTTCACTCACCAGAAATTCTGACCAGTGGGAGAGCTGGTGCTGAATGGGAACAGTAACTGTGCTGGGATAGTGCCGTTGGTATAGTGACTGGCTATGGGCTGTATGGCCAAGGAGTCAGGTTTGAGTCCCATTAGAGGCACGATTTCTCTCTGTTCCATGTCATCCAGACTGGCTTTGTGACCCATCCAGCCTCGTTTCCAGTGGGAACGAGACAGGCTCCTTCCTCAGGGTTGAAGTGGCTGGGACATGAAACTGACCACTCACCTCCAACTAGTTCTGAGGTCAAGAATACGTGGCTCTGTACATCCACTGTCTCCCATACATCATCATGCCATAGTGCTTAATTAGTTAAGCACAAGGACAGATTTACTTTTTATGTTTGCCACCAGCTATCCATTTACATCATGCTACTAACCAGTATTCCTACATCTCTGATGCATGCCTGATCTCAGTTTCCTAGGGAATAATCAGTTCTTTAAAGAAGGTAGTTTGGGCCGATTTGTATATCCCAAATTCCATAACTTGAATGTCCATAATGCTGGGGTGTTCTGTACCGAGAAAAACTGAATTCCTCTGGTTGAAGTAAACCTTGTCCCTTTTGTTCTTATTTGCTGTTTTTCATTTGATGTTTTGACATTTCTTTATGTTGGAATGATGGTTTCTGTGGAGAATGAGATATAGAGTTGGTGTGTGTGTGGAGTCTGTATAAGCTGTGTACTGATGTAGTCTTGATGGGTACATTGACCTTGTGTAGTCTGCTCTCATCTTGCAGCTCGTTCCGAGACAGCACCTACGCAGACCACGATCCGCTGGGCCACGCGGAAAACCAAGATGACACCTCGGACTTAAATGGTATTGATAAGATATTTGAAGGTATCCAACCCGCTTCCTATCTCTGGTTGGTGTTTTCCTTGTGTGCTGCCTGCTTTGCTTGTTTTTGCATGTTTGCCATTTGAGACACAGAAATAATCTGTTAGATGCATCATATTTCTCTCACACTTTGTAATTTGTACCCCTTCGTCCTACTGTTAGTATGACAGTGATGGTGATAACACCATTATCAACAGCAATATATTTAGTGGGTAAAATAACAGGAGCAACAAGAAGAAAAATAATGATAAGGTCAAATAAATGAAGGAGGCTGAAATGGGCAGAATATGTAGCTCCTATAGAGAACCTAAAAATATGTACACAGTTTTGGATAGGAAACTTCAAGGACTGGCTCTGCTTGGGGGACCCAGGTATAGATGGTGGTAATAATATTAAATAGAGTGTAGGCTGTGGACTGGATTCAACGAACATTTGAAACTAGATTTAAAGAACATATATGAGATATAAAGAATAATGCACAAAACTCCAAATTCGCTCAGCATGTATTAGATACTACACATTAATATGAAACAACAGCGAAAGCAATGAAAATTTTACAAATAGAAGAAAAAGATGGGGGGGTCAGGTGTTGGATACTAACGAGAGATTTCATATATATGAAATCAGAAAGCAAAACACAAATGAATGATAATTTTGCCAAGACAGACAGTCCCATATACAAAGTAATAATATCAGCCTACCAAAGCACAGGAGATGAAGAACAACAACCAGACTGAACTATCCCACCACACCTACACACACCCCACTATAACCCCCTCCCCCTGTCCAACCTAAACCTTAATGAATGTAACGTATACTACTAGACCAGTTGCAAACTGGCTGTTAACAAGCTCAGACAGTGAAATACAGAAAATAGGGGAACGTGTAAAGTAGTAAGTAGACAACATAACTTGAATATAAACATTGACCAGTACTTCACCCAACATTAAATCAAATTGGAAAGGAACAATAAAAACTGTTCATTACATTTTTTTATTTATTATTTATTTACAGAAAAACAGGCTGGAAATAATGTACAAAGCAACTCAATAGTTCAAGAATAGCTAGTAGTGCATGCCTGCCTGATGATGTCTTCCATAAGCTGAAACATGTAGCAGGACACCATCAAGAGCAGTAAACTCATTGTACGCAGTTGATGTGAACAAACCTTTGAATGTTGTGTTGTGATGGATAAAGCACACAATTGGTTTGAGCCTGGCTACTGTATCACATGACAACTTAGTTCTGTGAGTCTGTACGCATAGTTTAAATTGATTTTGTTTGTGGTCTGTCTTGATGTGGCCACTTCTTGTGGAAGGCAGTTCAAGGTTTACACAATGCACGCTCAAATCAAACTCTGATTCACCTTTTCTTCTCTTAATATTTAATGATGAAATTTCAGTTTCCTATCTAGTAAAATGCCAGTTCTTATTTCTCTGAATAGCATTTTTGTGAGAAATTCAAACCCCAGGAGGCTTTCTTTTGACACTACCTGTAAGAATCAATAAAGCATTTGATGCTCTAACAAGCTTATCCATGTTCAGGACAATGGGAATTTTGCACAACACTGACTGACTCACATGAATATTGCTAGAAAGTATATTGTTACTTCGTGCTATGAGCACAGCAGAAAATCGGCAAACTCAGGATGTTCGCCTGTCACAGTTTTCAAATAGCCTCCCTGTGCATGTAGGTACTGCAGTCACCTAGTTGAGTTGCTTCACATGTGCACTGTTGTGTTGGATGCACGTATATGAGGTGTGATTATAAGGTATTGAGGCTGAATTTGGCTCTCAGGTAAATTTTGTACAGATGTGGCCACACTAAATGCATCCTGACATGTCACTGCATGTCCAGATGTGCTCACAGCTCATTCCATTTGTGGTCAGCATTTAATGTTGGAGTGCTTTTCTGACTGCTTATGTTTCTGTAGGTTCGGAATTAATACATATGCCTAGTCGTTTGGATTAACATTTAATGAAACGGTATCTTTGTTGAACTTTTGCTGTTTATTTTTAAAGAGTATATTTTTTATCTTGTGTACAATTGAAATTATCTTTTCTGATTTAGTTGAGCATAGTTGTACTGCGGGTGATGCCGCCATGTAGTTCTGTAGATGATTAGCAATATTTTGGAGAAGCCCGCCATGTTCCTCTTCAATGTTTGGGCAGTCTGCTTCTCTGAAACACTGGTCCCCATGTACTGAAGTGCAGTGTTACATCCCAGAAGACCAGAGCACTGTGAAAGCCTCAGATTTCACAGGCTAAGCATGTCATATTTTCATGTTTTGGAGTAGCATTGCCCAGATGGCTTGTTTGCTGTTGTAAGATTTACACATGTTTGTGTGCATGTTACATTTAAAATCCAAAATCTGTTCTTTGGATTATGATGTCCTACAGGGATTTCATTCTCTAGCCAGCTGGGGTTTACATTGTCCATTAAGAGGTGTCCATGGATTCAAGCTGTATATTTGTTTTTCTCGGGTTGTGCATGTACCAGGTTGAATATTTTTCTGTTCCTGTGTTTTTCTTGCTTTGCCAACTCTGCCATTTTTCTGTGAATGGTTACAGGCAGCTTTGTGAAGTTACACAGATTTTCATTAACTCCTGAAGACCCATATAAATGGCTTTCTTCCTGTCCATGCAGTTACATTTAAATGAAAACAAGGCTCTGCTTTTTCATTGTCATCTTATTTTTAGACTTTCTGTGATGTATGTCAGTGCTGTATTCTTTGGTTAATGGAACAGCATGGACTGGCATGGTGCTGCCATCTACTGATGATGATGAAATAGTACCACAATCTGAGCACCTTGGAAATGGTGTTCATTCACATTTGGTCAAGTTTGACTTCAAAGTGAACATTAATTTTTATCTGCGAAGTCTAAGTCTTAACAATGTACAACCTAAATCAGGGGTGTCTGATGGCGTTACATACACGTATCTGGAAATTCTTGTCAGCAAGTTTACTGTAGATCTGGATAGCCACAGCTCACTGAAGTAACGTGCACAATCTGTTGTTTCTCTAGAATTTATCACTTGTGTCTGAAATATTTTGATTTCACCAACATAAGAAAAGTACTTGAAATGGATTTTATTCTCTAAGTAAATTGGTAGGTTTGTTGATCATGTGGTTTACTTATTTTATTTTATTATATTTACAGTCTGTTTAGTAACCGTGAGTAGTGTACACTGGACAGCACTGAATGGTAAGATGACTAGTAAGTGATGAATATGAACACGTGCGAGTGGCTGGGAGGGATTGAGAACCATGAAAACCTAAATTGGTAACTGGTCAAGGTTCAAGTTGGACACTACTAAAGTCATGTCAGTGGCACTGGTGCTTGAGCTGCCTTGCTCTGTTTCATGTGACAGAAATTGTTAGTTGAGAGAAAAGTCTGGGTGTACATTTTTTCATATGTTATGTAATTGAACTTTCAGGGTCAGGACTGTATAGCATTAGGTCTGGAGATTACATTTCATTAAACTCTATTTTCTGTAAATTACTATATATTCAGAGTCCAGATTTGCAGTTTTATGTAAAATTGCTGTCAAAATTGTCCAGTATGACAAGAGTACCACTCGTTTTGGTATGGATTTTATTAAGCTGTGTTATTAAATTTGGAACAAAGCCACAGAGGTTTATATCATTTTGGTTTTGCATGTCATAGAAATATCATTTGTGCCAAAATGTTCTCTTTGAAGTAAAATATTATAAAGCAGATGTGGATGAGCCAAAAATGCAGGACCAGAAGCAGTTGCCAGATAACAAACTTTAGACTAAATCAGGTATAATTCCTTCTCAAATTTAGAAATGTGGTGTGTTATGTAACAGTTTTATACCTTGCAACCCAAGGATATATCTAACAATTCAGTTTGCATGACATTATATTTAAAACCTAGTTGTGCTGTTTTAGGCATCACCAAGGACCTCCAAAGCCTCACAGCCAGCAACAAAGGTGACAGTGAAAGTGACCTGCAGGATCAGACTCCTGACACTGATGACTCTGGCGCTCACTCATACCCAGAGGCACCCACTGGTACATTCTTTCCAACAGGTGCAACCAGCTCCTTCAAACGTGCACCAATCATGGGGAATCGTGGCTTGGAACAGCGTGGAAAAAAGTCACGAACCTATCCTCCCAAGGATGCAGCATGTGCACAGGTGCGTTGCATTCATAAAGGGTGTTTCTGCTGTAGACATCCAGCATCCATTTCAAAATATAGTGCATGGATATCTGTAAGACTGCAGTGTTCTGGAATGTGATTACATATTGCTTGTTAGGTACCAACATTTTAAAGGAAGCTGCTGCCATACTACTTTTCCCCTGAAGATAGAGGCAGCATGTACCTTCAGAATATTTTAGTTGCCTACAGGGCCACATGGCACCACATCCCAGGAGGCTGTAATCATAGAAGTCACTGCCATAACCTCAAATATGGATATCTTTCTTAGCCCATTTACATTCCTGCGCATATACATGCAATGCTGTGAACTGGTCCATTTCACCGAAAGTGCCTGAATTCACAAAGGATGTGTGTCACCACTCTTCTTAGTGTTTAATGAGGCTGTAACTGTCTTTTGCTGTGCCATAGCCCTTAGTGATACTTGCATACGTCTTACTGACATATCATGGAGACATTTCTAGTGAGTAGTTGTATGTATCATAGTTCAAGAGTTTTTAGTTAAAAACAAACTGCTTATGTTGCAGTCATTGTACAGGAAAATGTTTCGTGGTGGAGGTGGGTTTATGGATGTGTTTATGACTACCGTTCAACAAGGTTTTCTTCTTGGTTATCATGTTGTTTTTGTTGAATATGTTATTCTTTGAGTATTAGTTCTGTACATGCTGTGACTGACATTCCACCATTTAAAGGAAAGAATCATCTCATCACTTAATTTTTTTTGGACTTGTTGCAGGTGGTTCAGGTGGCAGCACTGGAGGTGCAAAATGTGAAACGAGCCATTAATCGTTACGGCACTCTGCCCAAAGGTGCTCGTATTGGGGCATACTTAGAGTCATTAAGAGCAAGTGGACTGACTTCGGGGCAAGAGGGAGAAGGAGAAGTGATAGATGGAGGTGAGGCCGAGTGTGCGGAGGAAGTGTCAGACCTGGCTCCTCATCGGTCTGTGTCCCCACGTACAAACATCCGAACACAATCACAAATGATTCGTAGTAATTCATCTGGTGGTGTTGTAGGAGGCTTTCACAACCATCCACAAGCCCCATCTTCACCAACAGCTGGAAAACTAAATCGGCCACGCACAGGTGTTGTTAGAAATCATGGTGTAGATATATGCGGCAGCCTGCGAACATTCCGAACTGCTCCCAACACTTCATCTTTTCGTGGTGGTAGTCCTTCACGTGTTCTGCAGCCTAGCCTTGCAGATCTGGAATTTCCTCCACCACCTGCAGATCTTCCACCACCTCCTGAAGAGTTTGACAGCCTTAATGATGGTCCTCCTCTGACTCCAGAACCACCCCCACCACTAGCCGCTGCATCCCCTAGTCCAGAAAGAAGACATTTATGGGTGGGACCTCCTGGAAACAAGTCAACATCTCCTCACAGTTTGAGGAAGTTGGGGCAGAGTTCAAGCCTTGACCAACCCTCACCTCGCTGGCCAGCCCAGGGTGATGCGACTGACTCTGAACGAGTGGAACAGCAAAGCGACCCAGAGAAAGACAGCCCAGGATCCTCTCATACAGCAGATGTAAGAAACACAGAACCGTCGGTAGAAGAAGCCAGCTCACGATTTGGAGTGAGTCTGCGTCATCGAGAACCTTCAACAGATTCATGCAGCAGTGCTAAGTCTGGTGGTGATCATGATGACTCAGCATTGCAGCTTCAGGCTGGTGGTAGACGCAGTTCGAAGAGCAGACCACGTGACAAACCTCCAAGTCCACCACGTTCCACTCGAAGCTTGACTTCACCCAGCCTGGAAATCAAAAGTCCTGTGTCGCCTGGTAGTGATCTTGTTCCTGTCCTGTACTCTCCTAGTGAACCTGTTGCAGACCCAAATACTTTGGAGCAGCAGAGTGCTGTAGGGAGCGAAACTGTTGGCCCTTCCTCAGAAGAGAAGAAGATGACAGTGAATAATAAAGTGGTAAAGAGTGTTATTCCAGGCATGAAGGAAATGCTGGAGTTGAAGCTTGTTGCTGAGATTAAGGAGAGGGCTGATCTCAAATTTGGTCGAACAGGATTAAAGGAGTCTCCAATAAGTGATGCAGCAGGAATGGCAGTCCCAGGCTCTTCCTTGGACCCAGCTCTTCAGCTAGTTTCAGAACTTTCTGAAGGGTTTCAGTATACTGATTCAAGTAAGAAAGATTTGAAAGAGACACCTGATACTCCTCCAAACAGAAGCCTTTCAGATCCTAACAAGGGTGCTACATCCCCAGTGGACTTTAAGGCTAATCTCCGGAGAGTTAGTCGAGGATCTGAAGCAGTTAAACCTGAAGGTATTGGGCAAGTTAAGCAAGATGGAGTTGCCCTTGGGGGCTTCAAAGCACAGTTAAAGAAGTTTGAGCCAGCATCAAAGCAGGTTGGAGCAAAGGATGAAAATGATGATCATACAGGATCAATTATTGACTTCAAATCTAGGTTGAGGAAGGTAGAAAGTGGTGGGGAGAGAGTAGGAAGACGAATTGAGGGAGGGAAGGAAGATGAGGATGAAAGACGAGGAGAAGAGGATACGCGGCAGAACAGTGTGAGTGTGGATGAAGACCTCCAGCAGGAAGAAGACCCAATGAAGAAAAGGGACAGCACAGTAAGTACACACAGCCTGGATGGTGGGACACAGTTGAAAGTTGAAGAGAATGATGACAAGCGACGCAGTACGGGCAGTATCAGTAGCCTGAAGAAGCTGTGGGAAAGCAAGGAGACATCAGGAGAAGTCCCAGCATGCTCAGGTGCAGCTGGACAAGTGAGTCCTAAACTGGCCCTCAAGGTTCCTGGTAGGTTCAGAGACTCTGCCAACACTGCAGAAGAGGAGGACGAAGGACTCAAGGAGCAGGGATCATCACCAGATGACGGAAAGCCAGTAAATAAGGGACAAGGTGGTTCAAGGGTGTGGCCTCCACCTCCTGTTCCATCAGATGAGAAGCCCACGGTTCCTACAAAACCACCTGTGAAAGCCACAAAACCTATACTGTCAGCATCAAAACTGCCCACGGGCTCGGCAGCTATCTATGCCACTCCCATGTTGCCAAAACCACCTGTTGTGGCTCGTGAGACCAAATTTGTAACAGACGAGGAAGGCTGCCCAGCACCAGCCAGTCGGGTAAGTGGGGGGGAGAGAGAAAGCGTGCTAGAGATATCCCAGGCTCTAGAGACTAGTCTAACCTCCCTGAGGTCAGCAGCCACTGTGTCATCGGGCACTTGGCTTCAGCTGTCTGACAAAGTCTGCGTGTTTCATTCGTCATGTGTTGGATATGCTGACAGTATTGTTCCTCATGCACGCTTTCACTTCCGTGAGTTACTGACTCGGCTAGAAAGCCAAGCACGCCAACTTCGTTCAGCTGGCGCACGTAATTCAGCAGATAACACACGGCTGTGTGCCGAAGTGCAGAACACTGTGAGGGATGTGATCAATGCTGTACAGAGGTAGATTTGGTGGTTCAGTGTACTCTTGTTAATCCATGTTTTATACTGCTTTGAATACAGCATTTTGACATGGCTTGGATCAGTTTGGACCAATTCATGTCATGTGTTTATTTAAATAACTATTCTGGTTCATTCCTTATTCAGAAAGTGTGTAGAATTTCATTTGCATAAAGAACTTTTACAGCTGATATTATTGCTCTGAATTGCTGTTACGTATGTTTATCCAGTGTGGAATCAGTACCACACATCATAAATACTCCATTTTAAGCTTGTGGACAGTGAAGATGCTGTAAANGGGGGGGGGGGAATGGTGTTACTGTGCAGTGCTGGGCGAGTGGGTCTGTGGCCATTCAGCTCTGCACAGATGGTAAAGGTTAGTAATTGCATTTAACTTTTGCTTCAGTATTCCTCTATAAGTATATGCATACTCAGCATTAACTTTTGCTTAATGAGTAGTACAGTGGAACCCCTCAAAAAATATTTTCCCTTATTTAATGTACAGTTTCAGCGATCCCAAGTCACTAATCTCAGTTTTAAATTTCCTTGGTTTAGTTTCCAAATTCATTGCTGCTACACAAACTGAATTTGGGTTTCACTATATTTTAAGAATAATCTTGCATTATTTTGATATCAAATTATTGCTGAAGGAAATAGACCAGGTACCTGCTTTAAGAGTGGTATCTGCCACTTGTAACACATGGGGTACATTCCACTTTTGTGACAAAATGAATGAAATGCTCTTTTTTTTTTCTTTCTTTCTTTTTTTGGATTAACAAGGTATTACTGTATTGTGTTCAGTGGTGCTTGCATCACATGCACAGTGTAATACAGTTAGTTGTACAGAAGCAGTGATATGAAATATATACATATATATATAAATTAGGACAGTATGTACAGAACGACAAATTTGCAAAATGAGAGATTGCTGAATCAATGCACAGCTGTGATTCCATGCATGCAAGCTATCAGGTTAGGTTTGGTTCTGCTACTTCATTCACTGTGTGTGTGTCTACACATTTCTCTATTAAAAACAAGCTCGCTTTTAAGTTATTCTGTACTTCCTGGATGAAAACGCCATGTACTGAATTGACCTGTGTTTCTATGGTAACCATTTTCCACTGTCTTGTGAAATGGTTCCAGAAAGTAAAATTATGAGGGTACAGTAATAACAGTTGTCAGCTGAAGGTTGCGCAGGGAGTGACATGCTCATGTTAAGTTGGGCTTAAGTCTAAGGATTAATACAGTTGTCAAGAATGTTTATTATTTGAATATGTTCCATTACCCATTTTACCTGTGATACTTGTGTCTGTTGCTTGACGGTAGGCTGTTTGTTGAAATGTGAGCTTGGTGTTGTATTGGTAAGATTGCTGCATGTGTTTTTCATGAGTTTCTGGCATAATTGCAACTTAGGGACCAGTAATGCTAGGGCAGAATGTGTTAGGATTCATGCAGCTTTGGCTCCAGACTGAGATATGCGTCACGACTGACATGTACAGGATTTTATGTTGCACAGAATACAGTTGTTGGTTTTGTTGTCTGATACTTTAAGATTACTAAACAACAACAACAACAGATCATTATGTATGCTAGTCTTTATTGTTTAATCTGTAGGATATTTTGAGTGTGGAACCTGGCATGTTTAGACAGAGTTAGTTTATGAATCCAAAGATTTGAGCTAACCAGTCCATGTCTGACTGTGTGTCCATCAGAAAACTAACTTTGGTATTTTTCCTGCAGAGCCTTCTTTAAGGACTTATTTTTAATGTGAATTGATTGTAAAGAACAACGAACTCAGCATCAAGTACTGAATGAGGACTTTAATTTACCTAACTTTCATTCCCACCCTTGATGTCTGGTGTAGCAGATGTCTTTCTCCTGTTGCCCTTCACACAGTATCTGACAGATGGTGTCACTGTGTGCTTGTCCATGTCTGAATGGAAGAGTGACATAGATGGATGACAAATTTTTCAGTTATACCAATATTATGTTGGACACTGTCCAGTGTATGAGGCATATTTGATATACGATACACAACATTTTGGAAAGTTGATATGTTGCCATCCCAAGGGTCACTTGAGTGAACAGCATTGGCTGTCTCTGATGGTCAAAATGAGTAGGAACTTTTCCCCCCCGTACACCTGATGATGCGAAGGGAATTGGTTTCCAAATCATTGTATGCATTAAATATACTTCGGACACTGGGAAGTGTCCAGCATGCAGTGGAATTCCAGTTTAGTGGATACAACATTATTATTTTGCCATATTCAGTCAATTTTGCATTGGTAAATAAGCTTTATTCAATGTAAGAAATTTTTTGTCTTTTAGAACTTCTGATTCCATTTAGTGCGATCGTGGTCGAAACAGCAGTCGATATTCACGCTTCCTCTCTGCTGGCAGTCATTACCACACAGTTGTAATGACTTGTGACTGACAGGCACTGATTCTTCCCTGCACTTCCTTCACTGTTTTCATATAGTATTTTAAAAATTGATCTTATATTACTGATTATATTTATTTATGTACAAAACAGTTTCTTTACCAACATAAATAAATAAATTTTTATGCCATAATTGTATACAGACAGTCTTATAAGATGATAGTACGTCTTAGGAAACTCTGATTTAGTGTTTCAAAGGGCCTCCAGTCAGTGCTCCATTAAATAGGGATTTCACTGTAAAGTTCGTATATTGAATTAATCGTTGCCACAAATCTTCAGATAATCATAACTTTGCCATTGCTCGTTCCTTCTCACCTGTTGCATGATGCCAGTCGCATTATGGCTATGCTGAAAACCTATTTGTGTTATGTTTGCTGTGGATGAAGAGGATGTTCAGAATTTGTCCTTTCCAGCACTGTTGATGTTGAGAGGCCATTACTGTGTGAAACTCTGTGCAGCTGTTGTGGATTAATACAAAGAATCGTTTAAGTTTACCACGGTTTAAGACATTTTAAATCTCAGATGATGCCTCAGAATTAATCTCTATAATAAAGGATGTGGGGGCACTATGGTACAAGCCAGAAGGTCACGGGATCAAATCCCGATGAGGTGGAATTTTTCAATTTACCTAATCCTTCTAGCTGCACTGTGACCCGAGGTTGACTCATCCTCTAACAGAAATGAGTACCAGGAATATTTCTGGGGGTAAAGGGCGGCCAGCGCATAATGCTGACAACCTCGCTGCCATCTGTGGACCAATTGTGTAGAAAATATGGGAACCTCAACATCTCACAACCCTATGGGCCTCCACGGCCTGTTACAAGGATACCTTTACTTTTTTAATAAAGAATGTGAATATGTCCATTTTGTGCATGCTACATCTTGTTGCTGCACTACTTTGTTGCTTGTAACATGGCTTGTATTTCCTCTCTAAAGGAATCAGTTGTTTAGCGTAAGGTTTGAGGTTGCTACATCAGTGAATATTAAGATTACTGTCTTTTGGGATGTGACACCATGTAGTTTGGTATGTAGGTACAGACATTTAAGAAGAATCTACTTTCTCCAGCATCCACCCTGCAGGTTCATCCAAAACTTACATACCTGTCGTCCAACCTGCATGGCATTACATCCTATGAGACTGTATCTTTTGTTAACTTGATCCTCATTATTGTTTATATATGAACTTTAGAAATGTGTGTAACTGAATACTGTGCTGAACAGCGCAGTGCAGTCATGACCTCTCATTTTTCTCTGCCCTGCTGTTGCGTAGTGTGCCAATAAGGATCACGCATTGCATTTTGATAGATATATTGTCACGTGTTGCCTATGTAACGCTACAAATAACTTCAAGCGGGTCTCAATTTTTGGCGAATATTTATTAGGCACTTGCTTTTACACTTACACAATTCACAGTGTCCCAGTTATTGTCACTTATAATGTCCTCTAGATGCTTCCTTGTCATTATCACAATTCATGCTGCTCTTGGTCTGGTGTTCTCGGCAACTGCTAGACTTCAACTCTCGTCTGATGCATTGAACCCCCTTACATAGGCCTCTCGCGGACCACAAAGAAAATAGCCTATATTGTTGGAACGTGTCTACTGACTGATTGCATAGCAACGGTTGTGGCACAGACTCCATAGTAAACGCCTCGCTCCCATTGTTGCCTCGCATGTATTCGGTCGTGAGGTGTTTCACAGTCAATTACCTAGCAACGCTGTGTCCATCCACGTTATAATATATATATATATATATATATCAACAACTTTTGGTCATTCCCCATTTCATCCCTGAAGATGGAGACAGAGAAGGTCTCTGAAACATGGTTTCTAATTCACCTTTGATATTTCTGTTCACCGAAGATGATTTATAATAGGAGGGGTTAGTAATTAGTGGTGATAGGGAATGACAGTTTTCTTGTTTTGTTTGGTGGTTTGGTGTTGTGCCATTGCAAGAGAACATATGTTGTCATGAGAGGGTTGTTGTGGTCTGTGTTGTATTTGCCTGGAGAAACTCAGGAAAAGCTCAGGCAAGGATTCCTCATGGACAGGGTGGCACATCTTTCATTGTTCATTTAGTGGTGTGATGAAGTGCCAGCCAGAAGGCAGAATATGCTCTCTGTGGCTCAGTAGTAGGTTTAATGAGTATTTTATTCATCTTGACAATGATTCAATGCTATCTTACAAATCAGAAAGCAAAGAGAGTATTCTTCATTGTAATTTTTGTATTAAAAAAGCAGTAAACATCTTTTCATGCAGTGGCAAATCCAGTGGTGAGTGAGCACACCTGCATCTCTAGTGCTAATGCTTGGGTCCCATTGTTTGAAATGTGGAATATTGAGCAGACTGGCTGATTCATATTCTGGAGGCTTGATCTTATTCAGGACACCAGGAATTCTGACAACTTAGTTTCCCTGAGTCCCTCCAGGGAAGTCCCAGGATAGTGCCTTGATTAGACTACCACTGCTTCCTTCCAGATGCATTACAATTCATCACTCATCCTGTCATCAAGGTTATGTAATGTAGATACTGACATTGTACAGTAATCCACAGAAAGGAACTTTATAATGAAATGTGCAAATGGAACATGTAAGTAAACAGCTAAATGGGTGTCTTGATGAATATGAGAGCCCCAGAAGGTGGAGAGATCTCGGTGCCTGTCCATTCTGGTACATTTCCTTACCACGGACGTGAATGTAGAGGGTAGTGTCATCAGTAGCAGTGAAGCTGCATGCACATGTAAATATATTCAGAATGCTTTGCCCACTCTGAAGTAGTGATGCTGCTGACATATCTCTTGCTAGGGTTTACCCGGCATCTTGGCCTTTATTCCATAATTGCTTGTGATACAAGATA